TGTGTTTAGGAAAGAAGGAAGAAACAGGAGAATCTACGGAAATACACAAAAACAGAAAATCCTTCTGTTAAGAAAGATGGATTGAAGAATTTAAAAAAAAGTAGAAGGTAAGTGCAGTTTTAGTTTCCATAATAAGCCCTTGTGCCAGATTCCATCAAAAAAAGCACCTTCAAGAAAGATCGCCGAGTAATATTCCTTTTTCTCAAAAGCGACAGAGATAGCGTCAACTATCCAATAGCACTATTGCACTATTGATTATTGATTACCTATTGTAAGTGCCTTACCCTGCAAGGCTACCCCAGCCCCCTAGAGAGAATCACTTTATTATCATAAAATAAAATAAAATGGTGCTGCCCAATTACATTGGGTTGCTAACAACACAGCATACCTATTAATCACTACAGACATTATTTAAAATTATTATACAATTATAGGATTAACAATATGTATGAGCATAGTATACAATATTTTATACGTATATATATATATATTATTTTTTTTTTCCTTTTTTTTTTTTTTTTTTTTTTTTTTATAATTTTTACTATTTCTTTCATTCATTTATTATCATTCTGTACCCTTTCTCTTCCTTCTCTCCCCCTATACATGTTCCCACTCACATTCTCTCCTCTCTCTTTCTAACCTAATACATAAAAAATTCATAAAGTACAGTGGACGTGTTCAATAAATAATAATATAAAAAATGCTGTAACACACGCATGCCTCCCCCTCGCGAGCAAACTCTCCCCCTATCCGCTCCCATGCACATGGTGGTGGATGATTCCCAGGGAGTCGAGGATTATACTCTCTGCCAACCTTGCCACGTCCTTTATGTCGACACCAAGGCCCTCCATGAAGCTCCTTGTTGAGTCTGGTATCGTTCCGCGAGCTCCGAACCAAAGGCCTCTCACGTGGAATTCTCTCGGCCCGAAACTCTCGCGGAACTTTTCACTAAGGAAAGGGATGCATTTCTCATATATCTGTTTTTTCTCCCTTTCCACTTTTTCTGCCTGATCGAGGTCGTTGGTCTCATATCTCACGGTCGGATCCAAAATCATCGCCGACTTTCCCGGCTTAGAGAATGCTACAATGTCGGCATATCGGGTGGATCCATCCGTATCTATACAATATACTTCCTCGAAACAGGCGTATTCTCTCTCTTCAAGGAGCCTCATCAGTTCATGCTTGACTCTGTGGTGACGGCGTGTTATAAGGAGGGAGTTGTTGGGGCATTTTCCAAGCACATGTGCTGGTGTTTCTGGCTCTCTGTCGCATTTGCGACAGAGGGACCCAACTTCTCTTACCTGTCATATATATATATATATATATATATATATATATATATATATATATATATATATATAACCTTAAAAATTACTTATTTATTTAAGGATCAGTCTCTGAGATAAAAATATAACAAGAAATGAGATAGAACTGCTGAATATTCGGGGCATAGTTTCTCTATCGCTTCTTCAAAAAAATAATTATTATTATAGCTAAAATTTTGAATCTGTGTTTTAAAAAAATATTACGTTTAGTTATTCCCTAAGTGCTAATAATTAGGATTCGTATTATGGTCATTATTTGCAGGCGCTTGTACGATAAAGTTGTACGATACTGAAATTACGTATGTAAGGTAGACATTTAGCGTAAATACTTATGTAATTAGATACATTACTGTAGATAATGTATCTAAATTAATTTAGATCTTAATTAATGTAGATACATTACGTATTTAAGGTACACCTATGATGTTACAGCAATTATTCCGCCTAAATGTCATACTTTAAAGGTATACTAATGAAAATAGCTCTGATATTTAATACTTGACACATTTTATCCTCATTTGAATTGTCTTACAGCAGATAGGGGAGCATTGTGTTCGTGCGACAGATCAAAAAAAAATTTTTGCTCAGAATCGAAAATTTTCACTCGTGCTTTACGTTTCAGACATCAAGGATCAAATTTGGTTCGGTGTCTGTCTGTCTGTCTGTAGTCAAATCGATGTAACGGACATATCACCTAGTACCGTTCATCCAATCTTTATGAAATTTTCAGGGATTATGCTGATTGGTGCCTAGATGGTCCCATATCAATTTTATCAAATTCCATCTAGCACTTCCACTTACGCATGCGCAAATGTACTTTTTTAAATATGCCAATATTTCAGAAAGAGCTCGTTCGATTTGGCTCAAAGTTAGATAAAATCTGGATTCGGTAGTGTATATCACTATTATTAGAGCAAAAGTTCGTATGTAAAAATTTTATTATAAGTAATCTGCTACTATGGAAAATAGCAGATGACAATAAAATATGAAATTATTCTAATAAAGCATAAAGAAATAATGAGTTTTTATGCACTCTTGTAAAACAATAAATAAATTTTTACATTTGAAATTCATGTTCAGTATGCATTTTTTTTATTTTTTTTTTATTAAGCATAATCCAGTATGGAATCTTCAAATATGACACTCTTTTGTTGAATGTTGAAGGGTAACTGTAATCGGCTATTCCGATTCTGCTTCTCTCAGAGATTTTATTCTCATACAAAAAATTGTATACCTTGTAATATACAACGGAAACGGTTAGGAAGATATACTGACCTTACTTGGCAGACGTTTTTTTATTGTAAATAGTTTTTGATTATTATTGTACTTTTGTTAATTTCATATTTTCTGAATATATGGTGTGAATGTGTTCATATATCACTATAATTATTGTCCACGTGACTGATTATTATATTTCTAAATAAATAAATTTTAAAAAAAGCTTTATTTTTTTAATTTAAAATAATTAAGTATTTATAATTTAGAGTTTAACAAATGAATTCGATAGATTAAATGGATGGAAAAACAAATTTTTATTCAAAATATTTATCCCCATTTTCCATACATTTTCAATCCCAGAAATGAAAATTTCTGAGTTTTGTGAAGAAATGAAATCAGAAAATGCGTTTTTGACCTAAGAATCATTTTTAAAAATTTACCTTTTAGGAATTGGTCCAATTTCTTAACAGATGGAAATCTGTTGGAGATAAGTCTGGCGAATAAGGTGGGTGTGAAAGGACTTCGTCACACATCTCGTTTTTATTTCGTCATAAAATATGAGAATGTAGGTATGCTGTCGTGAGAGAGTGTAGGTAGGTCCCTTCCGATTAACCAATGTAGATTGTTTTTGGACGAGTTTTTGTTGCATTATGTCAATATTTCTGCTGTGCGATGTGATTGTGATCCTTGTAAATTACATCCTTGTAAAAATGAGAAATACATTATTCCTACCATTGAGCATTCACAGAAACCGATATTTTTTTGGATGCAAATTTTATTCAAACCACCGTCGAAACACCCTTCTCCGAACGCCATGGTAAGGTTTCTTGCAGTTTGCAGCAAACTCATAAAAAAAGTTACAAAATCGCGTGTTTCCATGGTCATATTTCATGGCAGACTAAACAATGTGCAATCAACTTGAATAATATTAAATCTTATCAAATTGCATAGGATTAATAACATTATAATGATTATAAAAATAAACGTAGTAAACAACAAAAGTCCTTTAATCTCACTTTGAATTTCTTTTTTATATTTATTTAGAATAATAACAATCTGTCACGTGGACAATAGATGATAGTGATATATGAACACATTCACAGCATATATACAGAAAATATAGAATTAACAAAAGTAAAATAATAATAAAAAGCTATGTACAATAACAAAAATTAAATTACCTATAGATAAGTAAATTAAAAAACATAAAAACACGGTCATACCAATATACAACATATACAATCAGACAGGGAATCCCAAGCCATGCTTCTCCCTCCAACTATAGAAGGAAAAGCAGGACGCCAAGAGATCCCTGCGCTACTCTCTCAACCGCGTCACTGGTGCTAAAGCTAGTGGAATTTGAGCGAGAGCGCTTTAGCCACATACACTCATGTCTTGAGTGGAGAATCTGGCCATTGCCAGAACTTCAAGACATATACTACAAAAGATCTGTGGGCCACTGCCGCTTCAACCTTCGAGGAGGATTTTAGGGGTGAGTGGAACTAGATAAGGATTGTACTTGGGGATTTGGATGATTTATAAAGTTCTGTTGGAATTTGTAAAATTTTTTAGGAATAAGGTCGAGGACAAATGGGATATTAAAGTCATGATGTAGAGTTTTGTTGGTTACTTACATTGTTCGGAGGACTTTGAACTCAAAGGATTGGATGCGTTTGATGTTAGAAAATTTTGCTGTCCCCCAAAGTTCAAGTCCGTAGGTCCAAATAGGTTTCAGGTTTGTCTTGTAGATTAGTAATTTGTTGTTAATTGAAAGTTGAGGTTTTCTTGTCTTTTAAGTCTAGTATGTGGGTTCCACGTTAGTCTTCGGTCTAAGATAAAGCAAAGAAACCGGAAAGCTGCGATCAGAGAGGTAGGAGAGGAGGATTAAGTACAAGGACTGGGGTAGATGGGCTTTCAGCTTGGAAAGAAGCCCGGCGTGCCATACCCGGTCAAAAGCTTGAGTTATATCCAGAAATGCACCCGAGCAATATTGCTTGCTCTCCAGTGCTGCGGAAATATGATCGACCACTCGGAGTCCTTGTTGGACTGTGGAGTGTTGTGAACGAAATCTGAAGTGATAGGAAGGAACATTTTTGGATTCTAGAAAGGGTAGGATTCGTTTCAAGAGGATCTTTTCAAAGATGTTTGAGAGGATTAGAAGTAGGGTAATTGGTCTGTAGGACGTAGAGGTGTTGGGAGGTTTGCCTGGTTTCGGCCACAGGATAATAGTGAAATGTTTCCACAAAAGAGGAAAGTGGGTGGTTGTTTCTAAAATAATAAAATCAGACATTTCATATTGAATGAACCAATACCACAAAAAAGAATCTATACTCTTTGTTTAAACCTGTTTATGATGATATCTCTTATCTAATAGATAATCCCAGATAACTGCCTATATCTCAGCAACCAATTGATTAGAAAAAAATCACATACACACAAATATGTGATTTTAGTAGTCTAAGAGATCAAATCCTCTTATCGATATTTTAAATTAACCAGTATCAAGTTCTATATAAGTGTCATTCTCAAACTAGGAACAGCTTTTACGCTCTGGACCATTAACTCATCCAAAATAATTCGAGTGAAAGTTCGGCCACAAATGGTAAGACCGCACAGTGTTCTCATATAAATACATATAAAATAAAATCTCGAAACTTTACAGTTCGGATGAATTTTTTTATTATTATTTTTGTGGAGGATAGTCCAAATTTACGATTTCAAAACTTAAACTTGTCCCAATACTTTTTAGATTCGAAAAATAAACAAAAAAAGGCAGTCTTTTCATATATGCAAATTCCTTCGTAAATATATTCGGTTTCAAAGTGGAACTCACTTAACTGTTAAATCCCAACATATTAGGTGAGAAAACAATACATATAAAAATTGAATTTTCATCATATTAAGAAATGATGAATCCCCAAGGTTGATGACATATGAGCCTGCCAACCCTTTTCTAAAATATTTTATTCCTCTCCTCTTTTTAAAAACAGTGCCTTCGGAAATAGAATTTTAAAAATCTTAAATCAGATAGATGTACACTTTTTTTTTGTCCACGGGGATTTTTTCAGACCATGGCTGAGAGTAGAGGATTTATGTCAGAGTTGAAAGCCGGTACGTGAACTCGTAATTATTTTATATACCGTCAACTTCGGTTTATCAACTGATTGGTCGCAGAGTTTACACATGCGTTAGACCACTTGGCCACCCCGCCTCCCTAGATTTACACAGGCAGTTCCATGTTTTCGCTTGTTTCGAAAAATTTTCTTCCAAAAAGTCATAACTCTGATGAAGTGTACCCTCGTCAAAATTTCTAAAACCTGTGACAAAAATTTTATAGCCACAATTTGAACCTCTCAAATCCTTAAAAGTATGCCCTAATAAAAGCAATAGCCAGATTCTCTACTCAAGACATGAGTGTATGTAGCTAAAGCGCTCTCGCTCAATCTCCACTGAAGCGGTTGAGAGTAGCTCAGGGATCTCTGCTTTTCCCGATATAGTTCGGAGAGACAAGCCTGGTTTGGAGTTCCCTTGGCCATTGTAAATACTGTATTTAGGTATTTCTGTATTTTTTAAAAATTTATTTTTATTTTATTTTCATTAATTATACACTTTTTTAATATTATTTAGCTGTTAATTTTATATTTTCTGTATATATAGTGTGAATCTTAGGGTAGTCTTAACCTACTATAACCATTGTCCGTGTGATATAATGTTATATTGTTCAATAAATAAATAAAAAAGATTATATATCCTTTTATTTGTGAAGTTTATGGATTATTTTACTTTTATTATTATACTTTCTTATTTCTATTTATTATAACTATTCGTTTGTTCATTTTAGCTTTATTTCATTTATTTTTTTAGTATTTAATATAATTTACTTTGTTCTTAATTATTTTTTCTAGAATACATAATTGTATGAATGGATCCCTTTAGCACTAATACTCATTACTCTTGGATGTCGCTAATTGTATCATTATGCAATAACAATTTTTAAACGTTTAACCTACCTGCGGGAAAAGTTATAAAATGAACATTTCAAGGGATTAAAACGAATTTTTTTTTTTTTACATACAATTTTTTGCAAGTATATTTTGTTTTGTGGGTGCCCGACTTAATTTAAATGACTGACTACAATCCCCACGAAGTCCGAATATTATGTTTGAATATTCTGTTACTGTCACAGATCAGCTCTGGTCAATGTCTTTTCGCAATCGAATTGAGTCAGTACCATTCAATGATACTGTTAATAAATTATCTGATAGGTAGTACAAAATCAAATCTTGTTTTACTTAGACATATAATCTTTACTCTGTGCAGAAAAATGATCCATATGTCTTCTTATCCTATAGTAATCAATAATCCTTCCAGTTATTTTATCAATAAGATAAATTATTTTGTTTTGTTTTTAAAATTATTTTTATAAATTTGAATTTGGCAGATGGGTGTGGGCTTCGGACAGAGTATGAGCTTTTTATCAATTGTGGTTCTGCTAGTTGTGAACTGTGCGGCTTTTCAAGAGTTAAATGGTCAACTAGAACCTTCCGATAGCTTGGAATCAACCATAGGCAGTGAAGAAGTCGGTAAAATATAATTAAATTAATATTTTAGGCTAAAACTTAATTTTTAAGCTTTAGGAAAAGCCTTTTTTATTTATTTAAATATTTGTATATTTAAATTTTTCGAAGCCGGAAGTTGTATTGGCTGATGATGAAAACTAGTGCATATCAAACCGGCAAATGTTGAGAGACTTTATTTCAAAAATGGCTTCTCCTGAACTTTAATAATAAGTAACTTTAACCCAGAGAAAAGCATATTTATAATTATAATTTATAGTTTTTATAATTATGGTGCCACATGAATATAAATATAAATATATTTATATTCAAGAAAATAATTATAAATTTAGATAATTGGTATTCGCACCTATAAATATAAATGCGTCTGTATTCAGGCCTATAGAAATAAATGCTTAAATTAACAGAAGTGAATGAGAATATATTTTGACATAATCTTATAAATTAATGCTCTTATTTATTAGATAAATATTAATTTTACAACAAATGTGTAGTTCTGAATTGAAACATTTGCAATATTTTTTACTGATTAAACGTGAATACGCTTTTTTTTTTTTTTTTTTTTTTTTTTTTTTTTCCTTGTTCTTCCCTACCTTGCCTTTTAGGCTATACGGGATTTTCCCGGGCCGGGAGGTGAGTTCGGGGAAATTTAAAATCCCCTCCGGCACCGGGACACGAACTCGTACTTTTTATACCATCTCAAATCTCTGTTATCCGGTTGCCAGGCAACTAGCGGTGCTGTTACACACGCTTTAGCCTATTCGGCCACCCCGCCCCCAACGTGAATACGCTTGTATTTACAGGTGTGAATAACGATATGGTTATACCACAGGCGGATCTACGGGGGGGGAGGGGCTTTCGGGCTGAAGCCTCCCCCCCCCCCAAAATGGAAAAATATAATCATTTTCTATGGGAAAAGAAAATTAAAAAATACTTCTTAAAGTATTATTGTTCGTGTAATTACATTTGAAAGTACTTAAGGAATAACTTAAACACCATTTCATATAGGTAGTTAGTTTTTTTCTGTTTTTCCAAAGTAATTATCGTTATTTTTATGAAAAAAAAAAGGTTTCGGGCTTATATATATATATATATATATATATATATATATATATATTCCAATTCACTGTTCAACACATCAGTTCAACAAATATTCAAAATTATTATTTTATGGTTAATGAAATATCTAATTGTAAGACCCTGTCGCAACAACAATATACACCTCAAGATCTTCAACGCCACACTCAGCATCCTATTACACAAATTACGTCTAATCCTCAACAATTCTATCAACACCAAATTCCTCACATTCCCTCTCCATCAAATACCACAAATCTCACAAATTTACTTACATCTTTCCTCTCCGAATTCAGATCTCTTGTTACCTTTGATATCTCTTCTCACCAATCTTGTTTCACATTTTATTCCTCCTCCCAAAATCCTTAAATGACTTCCAATAAACCTATATCCATTTCCTTTTGGAATGCGAAAGGTGTCAGAAATCATATAGACGATCTATCTGCTTTATTACTTGACAGAAACACTGTCGTGGCAATAATTACTGAAACTCGACTAACCACTAAATAGCTCCTTAAAATAACACAATACTTGAAATATCGTACTGACCATCCTAACGGAAGAGCATATGCCGGTAGTACATAGTCTCCCATCACCTATTCCCTTTACCTACACAAGACATCCTACAATCCACAGCTATCGTAATCAAAACCTTCTTCTTTCCGGTGACCCTTGCATCAGTGCATTGCCCTCATAACCGATTCATATCCAATGCCCAATTCAGTTCTCTCCTCGACTCTTAAGGACATCACTTCATCTTGGGTGCATAATTAAATGCCAAACGCCAGCAATGGGGTTAAAGAACCACTAATTCTCGTGGCCGAACATTGCTGTCTGCACTCAATCCCCAACGTTTTCACCTTCTTTCCTCCAACTCTCCTACCTACTGGCCCACAAATCCTAACCGTAATCCTATCCTAGATCACTTCATCCACAGTGGCTTAAGTCCCCTCCATTGTTACATTACACACCTAAACGAACTTTCTTCAGACCATAGTCCATTAATTCTTAATGTTTCCATAGAACCCGTTCTCAAACCTTCTCCACCGTCATTCATAACTGGAACCTATTCCGCCAAATCCATTATACTTAATTTATCCTTAATCATTTAAATATATCCCTCAAAACTCAGACGACCTTGACGATGCTGTCAATTCCTTGACTACCTCAATCCAACAAGCCGCCAGGACTGCCTCCTACCCAAGTAACTCGCCAAGAAATCCTAATCAAAACAACTTACCTCAATACCTCTTAAATCTCATCCATATGAAACGACGTACCAGATCAGTATGGCAATATACCAAACATCCCGCTGATCGCCGTTTCTATAAATACCACTGTAAGAAACTAAAGCGAGAATTAGCATCCTGTAGATCCGAATCCTTTAATTCCTACCTATCCTCTCTTTCTGTTAATGACAATTCCCTTTGGAAAACCACTAAGACGATCCTAAAACCTCACCTTATTTCCCATCCCCTTCAGCGAGATGACGGCTCTTGGACAGCATCTGAAGAAGAGTTCGCCATATATCTCTCCAATACATTCACTCCTCATCCGGAATCTCATCCTATCCTCACTGCAAAAGTAGAAGAATTCCTCTCTGCACCCATTCAACTCTCCTTACCACCAAAAAGTAGTTAATCCTTCTGAGGTCAAACATCATTTACAAAACTATCTCTCCGTAAATCTCCTGGGTATGATCTCCTTCCCCTCCGCCTCCCCAGATCCTTCAACAACTTCCAACCAAAACAGTCATATTCCTTACCTATATCTATAATCTCACCCTACTCACCACTCATTTCTCTCTAGTGCGGAAACATTCTACTATTATCCTATTCCCAAAACCAGGTACCTCCTAACAGCTTGACATCCCACAGACCTATCAGCCTACTTCCAATTCATTCAAAAATCTTCGAAAAAGTCCTTTTAAAACAAATCCCAATTCTTATAGAATACCAAAATCAGTTTGGTTTTCGCTTCCAATATCCTACTGTTCAACAAGCACTCCGAGTTATTGATCATATATCCTCAGCCCTAGAAAACAAGGAATACTGTTCGGGTGCATTTCTGGACATAGCGCCGGCATTTGACCGGGTATGGCATCCTGGATTGCTCTTCAAGCTTAAAATCCATTTACCTCAGTCCTTGTACATAGTCCTCCGATCCTACCTCTCTAACTGCTCCTTTCGAGTTTTCTGTAGAACAGAATTTTCCCGATATATATCCCGTTAAAGCCGGTGTTCCCCAATGTAGCGTCTTAGGTCCCGTGCTTTATATCCTCTTTACTGCTGACATCCCTGTTTAACCCGTTACCTTCCTTGAAACCTTCGCTGATGTCACCGCAATCTTATCATCCAACTCTGATCCCGAAACAGCCTCCTCGAAATTGCAAAGGCACTTCTCCTTGATTGAGCACTGGTGTACTAAATGGCGTATTAAAGTAAATGAATCTAAATGTTGACACATTACATTCACACTCCGACGCAGTTCCTGTCCACCAGTACACTTTAATCCCATCCAGCTTCCTTTCTCACAGTTAGGTATCAGTTATATCTTGGCTTTCTCTTAGACCAAAGACTAACATGGAACCCACATACTATACTCAAAAGACAAGAACTCAACCGACGATAGGGGTCAACTATAAAGACTACTGAACAGAAAGTCTAAACTGTGGAGGACAGCAAAATTTTCTAGCATCAAACGCATTCAACCCTTTCAATCTAAAATCCTTCGAACAATAGTTTATGCTCCATTCTATGTAACCAACAAAACTCTACACCATGACCTTAATATCCCATTTGTCTTAGACCTTATTTCAGAAAAATTCTCCACATTTCACCGGAACCTTACCTATCATCCAAATCCCCTTGCACAATCCCTATCCAGCACCACCCATCCCTATAATCCTCCACGAAGGTTGAAGCGGCAGACCTTTTGTGAATAAGTATGCATTGGAGTTTTGGCAATGGCCAGATTCTCCACTCACGCCATGTATGAGTGATTATAACGCCTCTACCGGTCCTTAATGCCAGTAATGCGGCTGATTTAGAGGCGTTTGGATCTTCTGGAGTCCTGCCTTTCCTTCCTTGAAGTATTATTGTTTTTACTGTATTATTTATTGTTGATAGAGCGTGAATGTGCTCTCTGAGTACTATTTTAAATTTCCTTATTAATGACAGACTGTAATATATCTCAATAAATATAGTTAAAATAAAAAATATATTAAAAAAATCGGTTCAGAAGTCCACTGTCAATATCGTTATTTAAAATTAAAATATTCACTAGATCAAATTGAGTAATTTAAGTAATTATTGATCAATCATAAGTTAAATTTTATTCATTTAATAGCATTTAATAAATTTTCTGGTTGATTGATTTCAATTATTTCTTGCTAAAGGATTATTCAAGTATAAAATGGTTTTCAGATTTTCTTCATCTGTCTTATTTCACTCTGATCATTATTAACAAAGTTATGGATAGAACTACAATCAATTGCATTTACATAACTGATGCCTGTTTTTCAAAATAACTAAAAAGCTTATATAAATAATATTGTTTTAGAAATATCATTTCATCGATTGAATGAAATTTTGGTCGGGAATAAATGGCAGACATCTTCAAAAGGTCAAAAAAAAAACACAATTAAAGTGATGAACCATCCGTTTTGGATGGTTACCCTTGGACCATTTTATATAGATTGACCCTCCTTTTATTTTATAAAACAAAATAAACATTTGAAAGAAAATTTTTAAAATAAACTTTTAATGTTCAGGTTACTATGCTAAAGATGTACTTCGTTTAGGATTGAAGCGCTGCCCAACTTTAGTAGGTTGCTGTCCTCTAAGGTTGGATTGCTGTAGGACCTATCTTTGCTGCAAAACAGGAAAAGGAGAAATGTATGGATTAATTAAATTATTATTGACGTAATTAAACATATATTTAGTTTCATAGGGCAGAAAGCTCTTTATTTTATACAATTTCATATTAATGTCAAATCCATTTCGTTTTAGATTTGCTGGTCGCCAACAACCGTGCTGAAACTGACTCAATATGAATTGTTAAGTTATTATATTATTTTGTTTTAAGAAATCTCACTTTTAAATATATTTTAGTTTTAGATTAAAAAATAAATAATGCTAGGTTATCAGTCATAATTCAAACCAAATCCATCCTTACTTGAAAAGATCTCAAATTATACATTCCACATTATGGTTTATACACACATCGATCAAGAAAATTCTGGACTGAAATACTTGTTTTAAACTATCATATTATTTGTTTATATTTAGATTATTCTAAATATTTATCGGTATGGTATGGATGTTTAATTAAGAAAACATAGTGTATATTTTCCCATCCCCTCCGAATTCCTGTCCTCAATCATTACTATACTTCTAGTTTCTGATCTGATGCATTCATTTTTATATTTCTTTAATCTTTCATATATGACAGGTTTAAAAATATTATTTCAAATATCAGTAAACATTTTTATTACAATTAATCGGCTAGGAATTTGAGTTTTATCACCAATAGATTGAACTTTGAATATATAGATAACTCACAAATATGACAAAATAGACCGATTCGGAGACTGGAAGAGGGAACCCCCGTGTAAAGTTTTGCCACGACTAGTGTTGAACAAAATTGGTCTTGGTCTTGCACTTTGCAAGACCAACACCAAGACCAAGACCACAAAAATTGTTGCGTTGCAAGACCAACACCAAGACCAGACCCTCCAAGTCCTGCGCAAGACCTGCAAGAGTCTTGCAAGTTTTGCAGGTCTTGCAGTTAAGTCAAACTGAGATTATTTTCAGATATAGTACGGTGCTTAAACATTTTCATCATCTTATCTAAACAGCGTTGTTTAACATGGCCTCAAGGATAAAAAACAGCTTTTATTCACTTTTTTCACTAATATTACTGTCTGTTAACAATAAAATATAATATTTTCAATCTCTAACGTTTATTATTTCTAATTGTCATTATAATTGTATCAGAGTAAATTGAATCAGAGAGTATTTGATTCAGGGGTGCCCATCCACTCCCGTCCAATGTGCAATCCCGTCGAAATGTGCATCCCTCAAAAATTCAAAACTCTGTCAAAATATGCCACCCTCAAAAATGTTTAGCTCCCAACTTGCGCCATGAACTCCCTTCTTTCTGGGTATCTCTGATTTGGTTGAACCTTTACTACTTGATCCGTATCAGTTATTCATAATATAATCTTTAAAATTAATGAAAAAATATGGGTTTTTTTCATCAGAGAATGTTAAGAAGTATCGATGTTGTTTAAAGTATCATTATAGATGTTGTTTAAAAATTTACAGTAATTAAAACAAAATAAAATGTTTATTATTCCGTAAGAACTATTGTAAGGGAGCGGGGTAGCTGAGTGGTAGGGCACTAAGTTTCCAATGCAGTAGGTCCCAAATTTGAATCCCGACTCAAGGCAGAATAATTATTTAATCTGTTCCATTGGCTGTGGAGTGACCTTGGGGTAGGGAGACCCTCCTAAGGCACACCCAGCCTCTACAAAGTGGATACTCTTAATTCAATAATTAATTACGGAGGAAAATCTGACGGTTGAACACGATACTGACCCGATCCCCTCCTTGCACAACCATTCTATTGAGTTCAAATAATAATTTAACAGCCTTGTACTTCTTATTGACAGTTCAAAATACTACCTCTCGAATGTGGAAATCTGAAAAATATTATGGTAAAAAAGTGAATTTGATTATCTTTTACATAAAAAATCTTTATTGAGATGTATATATACGTTGATGATTGCTATGTAAACGTTGAATTCAAATAATAAGTTAACAATCTATGGTTCTTATACACAGTTCAAAATACTATACCACAATAGTGGAAATCTGAAAAATATTATGTTAAAAAATGTTAATTTTATATCAAAAACTTTTACTGGTACGTATAAACCAATAATAAACAAACGATATGTGGCCACTAGCGGATCCAGGATTTAATTTTGGGGGCTTCAGCCCGAAAGCTTTTTATTTTTTCATGTATATAACGATAATTATTTTGGGAAAAAAGAAAGATACTAACTACGAATATGAAACGGTGTTTAAGTGATTCTTGAAGGCCTATTAAATGTAATTGCACGTACAATAATACTTTAGTAGATAATTTTTTTCATAAATCATGGGTACATTTTACCATTTCAGGGAGAGCCGAAACCTCACACCCCCCTCGTAGACCCGCCTGTGTATGAGGCATAAGATTCTTCGGAATCAATATTTTTGAAAACCTGGAATGAGTGATGAAATAGAGACGTAGCTACAAATCATATAATCTTATAGGAGAGATAGAATAATTAGTTATAATATGAACAGTATGCTTAATGGGTGGGAAACGCAATCAAGAAGAAAACATTAGTAATTTTTTTTTGTTTTGTGATGACCTAAGTTGCTGGGCTAAGTTGGGCCGAATTCATTCTCTTTATTATTCTATAATTACCATCATTTTATATTTATTTCATTTCTACTGAACACTTTATGTTATCTTACAACATTTACCATATCTTGTTTATTTTATGTACAACTTATTGCATTAATTTATTAAGTTGAATTAAATAAATGGAAAAAAACAATAAATTCTTAATTGTTTTATCCTTTGATTGTGATCAACGCTTTTTTAAGTTTTTTATTTTCATTTTGTCATTCACTTTGAATGCTAAGTATATATATATATATACATTAATTAGTTCAAATAATAATTAAACAGTCTTATGGTTCTTATACTTAATTCAAAATACTACATCCCAATATTGGAAAGTTGAAAAATATTTTGGTAAAAATGTGAATTTTGTTACCCATGTGTTTTGAAAAATGGCATTTTTTGATACAGTATAGACCCCCGCGACATCTGTGTTTTACAGTCCATAATGGATTGCACATCCGGTCAAAAAATAAATAAATAAAATATAGACATTTGGAAAAGTTGAAAAAACTATTTTTTTTTTTTTTTTTTTATCGTTTTCTGTTCTACGTTTAGTTACAACTGAATACATACTCAACGCCTCGTATATCTACATCAAAGATAATACATAAATATCATTACCATCACAGATAGAACTCACGTGCCCCGGGAACATTATTCACGAGGATATTGTTTGCCCACAAGATGGCGGCTGATAATTGACTTGTAATAACCTCCAGCTGATTTATCGGTTTATTTATTGGTCGGAATCAACGAGCTGCGCTACCACACCCTCGGATTGAAAAGTCAGGCCGTCCTCGTGAATTATTTGTGTGCCACTGTTAGCTGCCTTTGCTAAATTACTCAGCTCTTCTTGTCTGTTTACATATTCCTGATCTCAAACAAAATATATAAAGATATACATAGCATCCTCGCATCTGCTTAGAAATTTCTTTTATACTGCAATATGGCAACCAATGGTTACAGTTATTTTACAGGTGATTGTGAATAATCACTTGTATTTCATTCTCACATAGCGTACTTTGTAATGCGATTGGAAATGCCTAAAAAATCGCTTGAAAAGTCCAAGGAGAGGATTTTTATTATTTTGGATTTAATACCTCAGTTATTTACAAAAGGGTAAATTGAAGATATATGTTTAATTATTTTTAGAGCAGTGGATGATATCCCATTTTGGACTCAGTCTACATTTTTTATTTTTTTTAAATCTCGCATTCTCGATCATCCTCTATCATCTAAACGTCGGAGAAGAGATTGACGTCCAAATTGTTTTTCAACATTAGTAAGCCGCGAAATAATAGCCAATTTTGTCTGCTGCTAGACTGGACTAATGTTAAGTTGTTGTTTTTAATTGTTAGGCTTTTATATATATATAAATATATAAAGTTTCTTTATAACTAACGATTCCAACATTTCTGGGTAGTTTTTGATTAATTGAAAAAGTGATAAGAAGTAAACTGGATTCAATGTGAACCCATTGTTAAGCATAGCATAATCTTTATTTCGTAACGCACAGTGCAAAAGCCTATATACCTTACGTGCAAAAAACGTTAATTATTAGTCATGAGGCGAAATAAACCGCGTATTTCTTATTTTAGGAACTAGATTTTTCATTCAATTTTTACTACGTGATTAAGACAAGATGTATTGTATTAAATATCGTTATTTATTTATATTTGTGAATATGTACTAGGTCAAGATAGACCAGAAAATCGCACTGCGTTGTTATTATACTATAATAATTGTGCGTTTTTTCTACTATAATTGTTCCTGCATGCTTTTTCAATCTGTCGATATTTTATTACTCATAGGTGTGTTTTTGTCGGTAAGGCATATTTCCGCAAGTTCTTCTTCAAGAGCAATAATTAAGCCATCTTTTCGAAGATTATCAGTAGAAAGGTAGATGATACCTTCAGTTAGGATAGAAGAACCTTCATGTATGTACCGCGTACATAGGCCAAGGAAAATAAAGTGAATTCCTCTCTTTCGTAATACATTGCAATTATTTAGTACTGTAATAAGCGAATCGACACGGTTATGTGATTCGGTTGTACGCTAAAAGCTATGTATCGAATTTTTAAGCGAACGGCAGAATCGATTTCTAAGTTTGTTGGCTCAAATTATTCGGTGAAATCTCCTGAGTGTTTTGAAACAATTCGAACCAAGAATACTGTCTCGTGATTGAATAAAACGTGTTTAATCAATTCTCTAAAAAGAATGTAACGATTTTTCGATCAAATAGCTTGACCGATATTAATGTTTAATGGTCTTTTCCAGTGAGATACCGTGAGTGTTTTAATCATCATTACAGAAATTGTTCATGATCTGTCCGTTAAATAGTATTTGACGACTTATTGAGCGAACTGATGGGTCTTGGTGAATGTTTTGAAACAATTAGAGCTAAAAATCCTTTTAAAAAAAAATTATATTTTAATAATTCACACATTGGTATTGGTTTCATATCACATCATATCGCTACTGTTAATGCAAAAGGTCGTACGTAAAAATTTTTCATTTATATTATGTCTGTGCTGAAGGTGAAATTTTGTAGTCAGCAACTGATATAAGTGGTCTGCTACTTTGGTGAATAGTATAGGGAAATAAAATGTGAAATTATTCAAATAAATCATAAAGAAATAGCCAGCTTTTATGCTTCATTGTAAAAAAAACAACTCAATTTTGATATACTAACTTTTGCACTAACCTAGATATATAAGATATTGATCATATGTGTTGAATATAAAATGAGTTTGCTTCATATAAAAGGCGGGCATCTGTCACGTAAATAAAAAATAATTCTTTTAAATAGTAAAGTAATTTTATATTTTATTATAAGTAAGTAAAATTTAGCTTTAACCTAAACAGATCGTTTCAAAAACGAACACCTGCAGAGTTAGTTAATTTCAAAAGTGAACATTGACTAAACCGCCTATGGAATAGCCGGATTCTGATCACGTGATTCAATCTTTAGTAATGATTGCCCGTTATTCCATAAAATTAAAAAAAACATCAAAAAACGGACTTATCTAATTAGACTCTCATATACTTGATTTGAAAAAGTTAATTTGAAGGAGTTCTCTGTTAATAAATTTACAGATGAATGACAGCTAATGAGAAGATGAACAAGCGGAGAATATCTCAGTTTAGAAATATAAGATGCTGTTAACAATTATTAATAGGCTTCTAAAAGAAACTCATCTGCGTACCCTACCTACTCTAACTGCGGCGTTGTTGCAGACATCAAAACAAAACAAAAACTGAAATTATTATGATGTTTTACTCTAAATTTTTTGTCCTGAGAATATATCTCATAAGTAGTGAGAAAAGTCGTTAGTAAAACTGACAACTATAAAATTTAAATTAACATAAAAAGAAACATTTAGCGCAGAAATACTGTAATAATGAAAAGAGTCTCAAATATATTTTTTATTTTTTTTCCATCTGTGCACTACTTGCTGAAGAAACTTCAATCTTGAAATTTTGTCCTTTTTTAGATATCAATTTTCTAAAACGGCCACAAGTCATTTTCGGCGAGATTTGAATTTGAATATCTTAAAAGGGACTGAGTGGAAAATTATGAAACTTGTACATTTTATAACACTTTTTAATAAAGACCAGAGTTATATCGTATCAAATATTTCTGGAAATTGTGTTATTTAAACGATTAATCAGTATATGAAATTGAGGCACTAAATTTGTTCCACACGTCCTTATTAAAAAGTGTTATAAAATGTACAAGTTTCATCCTTTTTCACTCAGTCCCTTTTTAGATATTCAAATTCAAATCTCGCCGAAAATAACTTTTGGCCGTTTTCGAAAATTAATATCTAAAAAAGGACAAAGTTTCAAGATTGAAATTTCTTCAGCAGTATTACACTGATATAACTACAAATTAAAAAAATATTAAATTTGAGACTCTTTTCATTATTACAGTATTGCTGCGCTAAATATCACGTTTTATGTTAATTTAAATTTTATAGTAGTCAATTTTATTAACAACTTTTCTCACTACTTACGAGATATATTATTTATTAGTTCTTGTTTTGTTTTTATATCTGCAAAAATGCAGCAGTTGTAGTAGGTAGGCTACGCTGATACTCACACTAGGCAGCCATATTTGTTGAGAAATTACTAATAGAACCAGTTGAGTCTCAATGACCAAATTATTATCACACAGTCCTATTATTAAGATGTATAAACTGTATCAATTTCATAATTTTTCACTCAGTCTCTTTTGTGATATATAACATCAAAAATCGCCGAAAACGACTTTTGGGCATTTATGAAAATTCATGTTTAACAAAGGACAAGGTTTTCAAGATCGAAATTTCATCAGCAAGAAGTACAGTGGTAGGACTGTAATAGACTGCAGTTATGATGAAACAATTAAAGTTGAGACTATTATCTTTATGACACTTTTACAGGCCTAAATGTTTCTTATTTGTCTGTTTTCATGATTTTTTAAACCACTTTCCTTTGTTTTTAGGTGGTGTATTGATCAACAGAAATGTAATAAAAAATACCCTAAATTATTTCAGTTTTTATTTTGACTAGAATTCCACAAAATAATCAGAGTATTTTCCCAAAAACATGTTTTCAGTAGAAAAGAAAATTAAAAATGGTCGTTGAGAAAAAACTGTGATCCCTTAATTTTTTTTAAACTACGGTTTTGAGCTATTAAATAAATATGGAATAACGGGTATAAAAATTATAAAAATCAAAAATATCTAGCAACATGGTCTGGATGATTTAAAATGGATTGACCCTATTGTAGTCGAGTACCTTTCACTACATGTTACAACTCCTGGCAAATAGATTCATTCCTTCGTTGCTTATCAGCATCGAAGAGAATCTTGAGTTTCGTTCGGGGTGTGGTACGCCTCCTACTACCACAGCATGTTTAGATATTCGTAGGTTTCAAATTCCCTATCAGTCTACCGAGATATTTAAGTAGATAAGAACATGAGTACTCAGAAGGAGGTTTTATGGTGCAAGTTCATTCCATCAAAAATATTGAGGGCGGCACATTTCGTTGGGGTTATGAATTTTTGAAGTGAAAAGTATCAAATCAGAGGACAACAGAAAAAACATGTACCAGACCACAGCAAGTGTAATTATCTATGTTTTTTCTAATTCTATTTTTGCTTGCA